CACACACACACACACACACACATACACACACATACACGCACAATCTCAACTACACACTCTTGCAGCCATATACACACATAGTCAACTACACTTTTCCTCTTTTCATCCCTTTTATCCCTGCTCCATCCCCTCTTCCCTCACCTCCAACCTCAGGTATACACATTCCCCGTCCCTGTACTCTTTTATGTTTCATCCCTTTGCTCTTGTGTCGCCTCTCTGTCTGTCTGCTCACCTTTCAGTATGTTTGTTTATCTGTCTGCCTTTTATTATTATTATTAGTTGCTTTGTTTGCTTTGCTGCGAGCATGTCTTATCTGTCTGTACCTTACTTGTCACTCTTACTGTGTGTTGTCCGTCAGTCTAAAGCCATTTCTCTTTCCTTGGCAACCGATATTTTATGAGAGAAATGGAAGGGCTGTTGCTCTCCCCCGAAATGAACAGCGCAATTGTTTAGTCCTGGGTCCCTGTCATCAGTTGGAGAATCGTTTTATCCGTTCTTTGTGTCAATTCCAGGGGCAAAAAAAAAAGGGGGGGGGGAGGGCGTTGGTGGTTAACCAAATGTTAGTCATTGAAATTCAAATACAAAAAAAGAATGCAGGCAACAATGGTAGTCTCTAAATAATACTGAGGAAAAATTCTCCACGTCTGTGGATGGTGTGTCATTCTCCCCGCTTACTTCCCCTTCCCTGTGACCTCCTTTCCTCTGGGCTCCCGAGCAAGCAGCAGAGCAAGCTGTCTCTGTTTGCTCCAGCCTGACCCCCTGCTCAGAACGCTGCTTGGATTTGGCAAGCATCAATACCGCACTACAACCGCAAAACCCCCACCTCTCTCCTCTTCTCTGAATAAATACACACATTGATGTTACTCAACGGTCTTTCTTTTCTCTTCTGGCCGACGCCATCTTTCTTCACATGGCCACTTGGAGATCTGGTCTCGTTACTTTCGCACTTCACACTGAAGTCTGTTCTTACTTCAACTTTAACCGCAACAGATCTCTCAACCTGATTCTAGCCACACGCCCGTGAAACGCAGGCTTGATTCTCACCAAGTAGCATCCAAACACGTAGGTCTCCCTTTCACATTTGACTTTTGGGAACGTCAAGAGACCTTTGGCATGATCCCGCTAAGCTACCTGGATCCGCTCGCTCTTGCAACAACAAAGATTTGAACGTGAGGCTTCCCGCCTTTTCTATCCCCCTCTGTCTCATTCCTCTGTTCTCTACTGTGTGTTCCCCTTCCCGCCTCGCCTCTTGCCTCTCTCACAAGGCCTCTCGTTGTTTGGACGTGTTTCCTTTTCGCCATTCTTGCCCCATGTCTTTCATAATTTGAGAATTCTTCGCCCGGGGGGACCTTTTCATCTGCTAGCATTCGCCAGATCCCACACCCACCCCAACCTTTGCGTGTTCCACTTCCCCCGTCCTGTGCCTCCCCAGTGCTCGACACTCTCTCTCCCTGGGTTAACTTTGACTTTTTCTCCGGACGGTACAGCATTCCACGTGCAGTCCTCCTGTTTGTTTTTTCTTCCTGTGAGAGGGTCCCTCTCTCTCTGCCCCCCCTCCCCTCCGCCCCACTTTCCCGTTCCTCTTCTCCTTGAAGTTTTCCACGATCTCTCTTACATCCCTCCCCCTCCTTCCCTTTTCCTATTCCTTCGACTCCTTACTGTGTCCCAGGATCTCTTTTATTTCCCCTCTTTCTACGCCCCCTCCCTCTTCTCTCTCCCGTCTTTTATTGTTTTCCCCCTCCCCCTCCCCCTCATCCCTTTGACCTTCCTTTCCTACTTATTCTTTTACGTCTTCTTGTGTGGATCATTTCCCTCTCTCACTCTCTCTCCATATCCTCTAGGCTTCAATTTTCTCTGTTGTATACCCCCCCTCCCCAGCCTCTTCTGTTGCACTCTAGTCCTCCCACTCCTCCTCCTCCTCTTCCTCCTCCTCTTCCTCCTCCTCCTCCTCGACACCCCCCCCCCGAGCCTCTCGGGCTTGCTGCCGACTTTTGTTTCCCCTCAAGTGTTGTCTTCTCTGTGATCCCCCTCCAGTTGTAGCTGGGACCGCCACTGTGCCCTCACAGGTGTGTTTGAGCTGGATGTGGCCTTATACGGCAGAAGAGGCAGTCGCCGGGAAGCAGCGGCCCTGCGCTCCGTGCTGGTGGTGGAGGAGCCAATCAACGGACTGCGACTGCACGGCCCCACGGACCTCGGCATCGACTGGTGAGTAATTTTTAGATATCATATCTGGCGCGCTACATTGGCAGTTTGATGATATCGGTGTTGGCTGTTTAGATTACTTCCCCGGGCTGACTGGTTGGGCGCGGGGGTTCACTTCCGCGTGGGCTCGGGCAGCCGCCACTTTCAGGCTGATGACGGGAGAGACAAGACGTCTCGACATGATCAAATGTACCACCGGAACACAGTTCACCATCTTCCGGGGGGATTTTAACAGTACTACGGACATGGGGAATTTGTCTGTGTCAGGTAATTGGCTTTAGCGAAAATGATGGTTATGTATTAATTTCATTTTCGCTTTTTTTTTTCTTGCGAAGTGTACAACTCGGTGAAATAAGTGTCTGGGGGATTTTTCTTTCTGTTTAAAAATAGTCTTGCTGTAAAAAAAATCATGTTGAAAGAAAAAAAAATTATACTTGAAGGTTAGGAGTATGATTGGGGTCTTGCTAACTCGCCCCTCTAAATTGTAAGTCATTCCAATCTGTAGCGTCAAGTTTTTTAAAAGTCACTTGCATATATAATCAATCTCACGCCGTATCGTGTCGACTGTTTGATAAGTCTTCGTTATACGGAGAATAAGTATCCCGACAGTTTGTAGTTGATTTATGGGAATCTGTAATAGGATTCAATTTAGAAAACGTGAAACCTGTTGACCGGTGACCCAGTAGTGGGGGGAGGGCGGGGCAAAGGTCAGCCCAGTGTGCGTCTGGCACCGGTGCCGTCCATGTCAGTGACGCGGGGCGACGGTCTGGAGAAATCGATTGATGAAAGTTATTCCAGGAAATCGATCCGGCCCACAAACTCAGTTTCCCCGTTGGCTGGGGTCGGGGCGCGCGCTGAGAGGCTGTGGTGTGAAAATAGGGTCAGCTACTTACAGGACAGCCACTTCCAATTGAGCGCTGCTGGAATCATCATCTTCCTCTCTGCTAGTGGCACGTCCAGTCTCTCTCTCTCTCTCTCTCTCTCTCTCTCTCCCTCTTCACCAGGGAAACAGCCCTCTAGTTAGGTTCTGTGAATAGGATGAGGACTCCGTGCTCTTTCCGTCTATTCCTTTCCTCGGTTTTCTCTTTTTTGCTAAGACCTCTACCACTTCGCATCCAGTGATTGATTTCGACCAAGTGTATTATGAAAGGAGGAAGCGTGGTCTAGGCTGGAATCCTGTTATCCTCCCATTTGTTATAAAGTAATGAGGAAATTGTGCAATCAGAATGAACTTACTGCGGGTGAGTCTCTGGAGTACTTTGAATTCTATTGTTACATAAGGACCGATCTTTTAGTTTCGCAATATTCCATTTTCTTGGTTACGACATGCATGTACGTTGATGACAGACTGTTTGCAGCACTATTTGCTTCGTATCTCTGAAAGTTTTTTTTTCAGTTATGTCCGCCTCCGTTGTTCAATTTATTTATGGGATTTGAAAATATCTTTTCAATTTGTTTCCGTTTTCTTTACTACTGGAGTTATGGTCTCCACGAACTTTTCCTTTGTGTATTTATCTTTATGGCATTCCGTATTTCGTCTTGCTTTTAGTAGTGTACTATTATTATTATAGTTCTCTACGATCATTCACACTCTTCGTCTTCTTATTATAGACCCTTTTCATGTCAGTATTTTCGAATGAATAGTTATATATCCAGGTGCGTGTATAGGTACGTTTAATTTTTCATCTCTTAATGAATTTGAAGATGAATGCTGTTTTGTTCTACCCATGTACTTTGCTTATATTGTGTGTATCTGTCTGTCTTGCGTGGTTATCTATTGTAGAAGTCACCCCTTTGTGCAGCTCTCGCAGGTGGCTTAATTGTTTTTTTAAAATCTGCTTTGGGAACATTCAAACCAAAAGCACAAGAATTAGGCTCGGAAGTCTCAAATAAAATGTTAAAAATTACCACGTGTGAAACCCTCTTAAAAGTTATCAGTAAAATGTAATCGTTGATAATTCGTCTTACGGCAACGAATATATTATTATAGCATAGGATGGTTCACTCAATAAGGAAGAATCATCAGCAGTGTAAGCACGGTATTAAAGACGACGCCTTCGAAACAGTTTGCTTTCTTTGTAGAAGTCACCGAATGAAGCTCTTAACTGTATGGACAGGTTCTTTGGGGGTGTGGGGGCGGAGGATTGACGGTTGTTTTATTCCTGTTTATTCTATTTAGATAACACTTTGTGGCAAGGCCACAATCTAGTCCACAATCATGTGAGAAATTCGCTGATTCCTGTCGTGTTTGTTAAACCAGGAACCAGATCATGCGTGTTCCAAAGTAGGGGCGCTGTTGTTGTCTGTCTGTTAATTGTCAATGGACTGTGCTGTGTGCCACTTCAGGGTGTCTGTGTGTTTATTGTAAGTGTGTTTGTGTGTGTGTGTGTGTGTGTATGTGTGTGTGTGTGTG